CCATTTATAAATTCTATTAGTGGAATCTTTTTTTATTTATTTATTTTTTGGTTGGAGTCTTTAGGTTTTCTATATATCATATCATGTCATCTGCAAATAGTGAAAGTTTTACTTCTTCCTTACCAGTTTGGATGCCTCCTATTTCTTTTTCTTACCTAATGGCTGTAGCTAGAACTTCCAATACTTTGTTGGATAAAAGTGGTGAGAGCGGATATCCTTGTCTTGCTTCTGATCTTGGGGGAGAAGCTCTCAGTTTTTCCCTTTGAGTATGATGTTAGCTGTAGGTTTTTCAAATATGGCCTTTATTATGTTGGGATATGTTCCCTCTAATCCACTTTGTTGAGGGTTTTTATTAGGAATGGATGTGGTATTTTGTCAAATGCTTTTTCTACATCTATTGAGATGATATGTGTTTTTTATCCTTTCTCTGGTTAATGTGATGTATCATATTGATTGATTTGCAATATTGAACCACCCTTGTATCCCTGAAATATATCTTACATGATCATGGTGAACATTTTTTTAATGTATTGTTGAATTCAGTTTAATATTTTATTGAGGATTTATTGCATCTGTGTTCAACGGGGATAGGACCTGTAGTTTTTTCTTTTTGTATTTTCTTCGGTCTAAAATTTAGTTTGTAATTTTTGCATTTATGTTTTGAGGGAGGTTGGTCTGGAGGTTTCTTCCCTTCTAGTGACTTATCTGTTTTAATATTGTATAGTATCTGTATAATACTGACCTCATAGAATTAGACTATTAGAATTCACCCTCCTTTTCAGTTTTCTAGAAGAATTTGTATATAATTTATATTGTTTCTTCTTTAAATATTCACTACATTCCAGCAAACCAACCACTGCAGACTAGAGTTTTCTTCAAGGGAAGATTTTTAACTAGAAATTCGGTTTCTTTTAAAATATAAGGTAACTTCTTGAATGAGCTTTGGTAATTTGTCTTTCGAGAGAATTGTTCACTTAGTTTAAATTATCAAATTTATTGCCAAAATGTTGTTTGTAATGATCCCTGTTATCTTTTTAATAGCAGTAGTATCTATAATGAGGTCACCTCTCCCATTCCTGATACTGGTCATTTGTGTTTTCTTTCTTTTGATTAATTAAGCTAAAGGTTTATCATATTTATTGATACTCTTGAAGAATCTGCTTTTGATTTAATTTATTTTACTTATTTTTCTGTTGTTCCTTTCACTTATTTACTCCAGTCTCTTATTTCTTTTCTTCCACTTAATTTAGGTTAAGTTTGCTTTTTCTGGGTTTTAAGGTAGAAACTAAGGTCATTGACTTGAGGCCTACTTTCTTTACTAAAAGAGAGGCTTAGTACTCTAAATTTGTGTGTACTGCTTTTTGATATGTTGTTTTTGCATTTCATTCAGTTCAAAAACTTTATTATTTTCATTTTAATTTCTTCTTTGAATCCATAGGTTAGTGTGTGATTTAATTAACAAATATTTGAAGATTTCCCAGGAAATATTTGTGTTTTTTGTTTTCTACTTTAATTCCACTGTGGTCAGAGAACACACATTATATGACTTGAATCCTCTTTAGTGTATTGAGACTTTCTTTATGACCCAAAATATGGTCTGTCTTGATAAATATTTCATATGCAGTTGAAAACCATGTGTATTCTGTGGTGTTGGGTGGAATGTTTTATAAATGTTGGGTCAAGTTGACCTCTAATATCTTTAGTGATTTTCTGTCTCTTACTGAGTATTGATTATGAATTATTTTCTACTTTTCCTTACAGTTCTATTAGTTCTTGCTTTATGTATTTTGAAGCTCAATTATTTGGAACATAAACATTTGGGGTTATTACATCTTTTTAATGAGTTGACTTTTTATAATTATGAAATGACCTTCTTTATGCCTGGTAATATTCATTACTATATAATCTACTTTTTCTGATACTAATGTAACCACTCTAACTTTCTTTTATCTAGTGCTAACATGATATATCTTTTTCCATTCTTTTACTTATAACCTATTTGTATCTCCACATTTAAAGTGCCTTTCTTATAGGCAACATATAGTTGGGTCTTGCATTTTTATCCAAACTTTATCTTTTATTGAGATATTTATATCACTTATAATTAATACGATTATTGATATGATTAGGTCTTAGTCATCTTGATATCCCATCTATTTTATTCTCTTCTATTCCCTTGAAAAACAGTATTTTTGTGATTCCATTTTTTTAACTCTTGGTTTTTAGCTGAAATTCTTTTTTTTGTGTGTGATTTTAGTTGTTGTCTTGAGATCTATAATATACATGTTCAACTTAGCATAATGTACCTTGCAGTCATATTATACCAATTCACTGATAATAAAAGAACTTTACAATTGTATACTTACATTTCTCCCTTCTCAACTTTTGTCTGACTGTTATCATGTATCATTTTACATATGTTATAAACCCCACATTGCATCCTTAATTCTTTTTATTCAAATAGTTATATTTTTAGGAGATTCAACTATTAAGTTTTAACTTAATTAATAGTTAATTAAGTATTAACTATTAATTCAACTTGTATGTTTACTGTACAGTTCCACTTTCTATTATTTTTCCTTCCTATGTATAGATCCATATTCTAATCTAACATTCCTTCTGCCTAAAAGACATTGTTCACATTTTTATAGTGTGAGTGAACTTGTAATGTATTTTTCAGCTTATTTATTTATAAAATATCTTCATTTCTCCTTTATTTTTTAAAGATACTGTCTGTGAACATAGAATTCTACATTACAGGTTTTTTTTTTTTTTTTCAGTATTTTAAAAGATGTGGCTCCACTGTCTTCTCACTTGCATTGTTTCCAACAGGAAATCCTCTGTATGTAATGTATCTTTGGAATGCATTTAAAAAAAATTTATTTTTAGCAGTTTTGAGCAATTTGTTCATGATATGCTTTGGTGTAGTTTTCACTGTTTTTTAATGCTCCAGGTAGTTTTGAGCTTTTTGGGTCTGTGTGTTTATATAGTTTTATTCAAGTTAGGAAACATTTCTGCCCATTATTTCAAAAATGATTTTTTTGTCCTTCCATTTTTCTTCTCTCCAAATATATATTAGGCTGCTTGTTTTGAATTGTCCTATAGCTCTCACTAATCATTTCTTCCTTTCTTTTCTTTCTTTCTTTTTTTTTTAACTCTCTTCTCCCTGAGTTTCATTTTGAAAAATCTCTAATTATTGTGTTTTCAAGTTTGCTAACATTTTTTGACATGAATAATATGCTGTTAATCCCATCCAGTGTATTTTCTTTTTATATGTTAGAGTTTTCATCTCCGGAAATTTTATGTAGGTCTTTTTTATATCTTTCCTGTCTGTATTTAACTTTTTGAACATATGAAATACAGTCCTTACTTAATTACAGTTAGAACTTAGTGTTCTTGACTGCTTATTCTAATGAGTGTCAGTTCAGGGTCAGTTCTGATTATTTTCTGCATTATGGCTCATGTTTTCCTGCTTCTTTATATGCTTGATAATTTTTAATTACATGTCAGATATGAAGTTTATTTTTTTGGGTGATGGATGTTTTTGTAGGTCTGTTCTAAATGTACAGTTAAGGCACTTGGAAATAGTTTGTTCCTTTTCAGTCTCGCTTTATAATTTGTTACATGAAACCAGAGAAATGCTTGGTGTGGGGCTTGATTATTTCCTCTGCTAAGGCAAGACCCTTCTTTATCCTCTACTCGACGTCCTGTGAATTAGGAGTTTCTTCAGTCTGGCTGGTAGGAAGGGGTGATATCCCTGTGTTTCTGTGAGTATAGAGCAGCTTGGATCTTCCCCTGACCTCAGGTAGTTTCTTTATTTGCATGTGCTGCTCAGTTACATGTGCGAATACCTGATAGAGACCCTCTTCTTTGCTCTTCCTTTCTCTTTCCACAGCTCTCTTTTCTCCATTACTCTGGGAATCGCCACCAAGGTTCTCCCTTCCTACAACATTATCATATGGCTCTTCTCATTTGTTTCCTCTCCCCCAGGAGAACAGTCTCTTGTGATCTGATGTCCAATTTTTTGAAATATTGTTTCACATATTTTGTCTATATTTTGGGTTGTTTCAGGCAGGAGGATAAATCTGGCCTCTTTTATTCAATCTTGGCTGTCGTAGAAGTCAAGCCTTTTAACTTTGGCTAATTTTCTATTTTAAAACACTTAAAATTTTAAATAGAAAAATTCATCCATCTTTACCTTAACGGCTTCTGTCTTTGGTGTCATGCTTGAAACACTTCTGTGTTTGACGGCTTATAAAATACTTACCTATATTTTTTCAATGTCTTTGACTGCCTTATTTTTATATTCAGATGTTTTGAATATACATTATATTATAGACAATTCAGAAAATAGCTAATTTGGAGGCAGAAACCCCTGAAGTGCCTCAACAGACACATGGCCAATACCCATCTTAACCTATTTCCTGTTCTGCATTTTGCTATCCCTTCATTGTTTATATAGTTGTAATCCTAGGGTATATGTCATTTACCATGTTCATTCAGTACATTTTCCATCTTCCTATATAATCTTTATAATTGTATCTTAATGACTGAATTATATTTCATCCAATGAGTACACTGCAATTAGTGCAATTATGCTAGCTTTACCTATATTGCTAAACATTTGAGTTATTTCTTCTTAAATAGAGTATATGAAACATAATAATCTGGCAGGCATTTTCAGGGAATCTTAATTTTGCCTACTCTTTTTTTTTTTTTTTTTTTGCCACTGTGGACAGAGATGCAGGTACGGTTCCTCTCTCGCTGTGTCATTGCTTCCACCTCCAGGCCTAAACCAGTACCCTCCAGGCATCCCTGTCTGTGTGCAAATGAGAAGGAAATAAAAACATGAGTTTCTTAATAGTGCAGTCCATTTCTTATTACTCAGATCATTAAAACTAGGAAGAGTTTTTAAAGAGCTTATAATGTACATTGTTTGTATGTATTAACAAGGCATCTGAATTGGTTTCTAATTATTATTTGTGCTTGGTTCTTTCTAGGAAAGTTGCTATTCACTTCCAGCATATCATAATGCAGAATTCTCTCTCAGTACCACCAAAAGATCAAGGTAAGATAAACCGTGCTGAGGAAAGTGGTAATGCGTGTGTTATAAATAGTGGAAATTGACACATTCAGTGCCACTGTCCCCCAACCAGAGTTAATTTATTTCCTGGAACTGAGAACAAAATTCTAATTATATCAGAAAGTTGATTTCCTTTGGTAAATTACTGAAGCATATGAAGGACATGTATGTTTGACTGAGAACTCCCTGAGAGCAGGACCATCTCATCCCCACACAAAGCTCACAAAACCCAGGCCATGAGTCAGCAGTTAGTTGGCACCCATTGAAGTCAACGGCAATTATCAGGTATTGATTTTGGTGAAACAGAATGACGTGTTTTAATGAGAAGACTATATATGTGTATATATATATATTCTTACACACATGCACACGTACAACACACATGTAGAGAGAGGGGATATTCACTAATACATTTCTTTGACTTGTTTCTTCTCATAGTCATTTAGAAAGAAACAAGAATTACTTTATTCAGATCCAGCCCCACATGATTTGTAAAGAAAGTCATGGCTTTTTTAAAAGGAACTCTTGGAGGTTTCAGAAAAGCAGTTTATAGGTGGAGATAGAGTTTTTTCTGAATAAAGAGTAATTAAACTTCTGTCACCATCAAGGGCAAACTCTGACCTTTAGGAAGAATTCAAATCTTTCACCTGCCCCTACATGTTCTCTTCTACACAGAAGAGAAGTTTTGATATGTGTGTGAGAAAAATAATGTCTTTAATAATGTGCATTTGGGCTTCCTTCATGGAAGACATAACTTTTAATGAATGAAGGGAATTCGCTATAAAGAACCCTTAACCGTAGCAAACACTCTTTGATCTCTCTACCAAAAGGAAGCATCATAACTGTTAAGAGCATAGAGTCCAGGTCTGACACTCAGTTCTACCACCGAATTGCATATCTTAGGTACATCACTTGACTCCACTTTCTCCTCTATAAATCTGTAAAATGAACATAGTAAGTACTACCCTATGGTCACATGGAGATGAAAGGAGATATGCACATGAATCACCCAGCATATTCCTACTTGCGTACAAGGCACTGTAAGATGATAGTGGCTATCCTCTTAATGGTCATTATTGATATCTGGGCTCTCTCCATCTGAGGAGGCTGATGTAATGAGATGAGCATGACTGCCTCCTGCTTCAGGTACCTTCAGGTACCAGGTACCTTAAAACACCAAGCCTGATCCATGGGGACCCAAGGGAAGTAAATACAAAGCGGACCTCAGGCTTACTTCTGGTCCAGACATTTGACCAAAGGAAGAGTAAGTGTCCTTAAGACTCACATGAGATCCAGTCCTGAGCACAAGGGCAAGAAAGGGCATGGGGTGAGAGAGAAAGGAGAGAACCCTAACTAGAAACATAAAGTGTGCATTTCCTGTGAGTGTTTTCTGGTGTATATCCTTTGGAAGATATCTGTAGTAGTAGGTAGCTGATCAAGGGGTTGGAAACTTAGTGTCCTAGCTGGTATCACCTTGTTCATCTGGGCTAGAGGTGTGACTGCTTAGAAGGAAGAGCGCAGGACTAAATGTCAGGAAGACTGGCCTCCTTTCCCACATCTACTGCCAACCAGCTGTGGAACTTCAGACAACTTATTTTGCTTGTAAGCCTTGGTTTCCCCATTAGTAAAGTCAGGATTACTAGATATTTTTCTCTATCTCTAAAAGGTGGTAAATCTGTGTAATGAAGCAATGAGCCGCTTGGTTTCCATCTAATATGGAAGAGTCATTCATGTCACCTCTCATGCCTCCTGCCTCCTTTGTTTCTCATCAGGCCTTATTCTGGTTTTTTTTTTTTTTCGTGTCTACTTCTTGAGCTGCATGAGCTTAGTTACCTCCATGGGCCTAGCCAGAAAACAAGATACCTTCAAGCCTAGCAAGGAGTTCAGTAGCACTCGTAAATACTTTGTCAGTCTTTTCTGGGACCAGAGATGCTTGAGCCCCAAGCCCAGAATATAACAGAGAAAAAGATAAAATAACTAAAAGAGCTCAATTAATCAAGTGCCTCCAGTGTGGTAGTCACTCTGCCCACAACTTTGTTTTCTTTAATCCTCACCATAAATTAGGTATAATCTTTGACAGGTTTAGGGAGATTGGTTACTTTTACCAAGATCACCAATCAGGGAAGTCACAGCTAAGACTTGAACCCAGAGCTATCAAAATCCGAAACTCACTATGTGTTCCTTGTGTCACAGGGTAAATCTATAAAGAGCATTTCTAGTTCTATTTTTAAATCATTCCCCTTTTTCTTCTTTGATCAGTATGAATTTATGTTTCTGTCTTCAAATGTAATCAGTTATGTGACATGAGACATGTGCTGGGCACATGTCATTTGTTAATAAAATGCTGAGTAATTTATTTAACACATCATTAATGGCTATCTAAAATTATGGTACTTAAACATTTCAGACTTATAAATACACATGGACATATATTATACATATTAATAATGAAATTCAGGTTAAGATATTACTAGCAGAGTTGTGGCGCTTAAGAAAATCCAATGTGTCACATAGTGTCTCCTAACAAAATTTCCATGGTGGAAGCAGATTTAATGATCACCAATATAATAGTTAACTAGTCAGATCCAAAGATATGAGGAATCTTTGTGCTTTTACAAAACACAAAATCCTATTAGAAGAGCAGACATGTATGTAATTAACTAAACTCATGGCAAATGCTGTATTGAAAGTATGACGTCCTTTGCGAACCTGGATGAAGGGATCATTGGTTAGGCCAGAAGTTTTGAGGCTGATGTTTTGGGGGGGAAACACACCAGAGGAGATGACATTTGTTCAGGACATTATTCCGTGTGTAGAACACAAAGAAGTGGACTTTAGGGGTCAAGGGATATGGGCTTAATGCTGAGAAAGAACTGGAGGAAACTAATTAGAAATTCTAGTGCCTTCTATTTAAATGTTTTCTAATTTTGGATAAGGGGATTTAATATCATAATATCACTCTAATGATAATCTGTAGTATATTAAAAGCTTTCCAGTATAATTTAGTGTCATCATTATTCCTTTTTGTGTGAAAGTATTACTTATCGAATCTCCAGAAGTTTGTTAGACTTACTTCATTACGATATTCTGTCTTCTCACGCATTCGGGATTTGGAGATAGGATTTATGGTTTTCCCATAACTTTCTGGGTTTTTGCTTGATATTTTCAAATGGTAAGATAATAGAATTATAAGGGTGGGTGCTTCGTGTTGGAAAATAGCAAATTGTAGCAAGTAATAGACCATGTTATGAAAAAAAAAAAAGTATGAAAACAATGGAATAAGGCCAACTACAGTTTTTGTAACATCTACTTTAAATTTGTTGAAGGACAGACAAAACCACCACAGTGATTGAAAATGCACATGAACTTTTTACTTGCCAGATAAGGAACACACAAATGAGCAGCTCTGCCCCATGGTTCTTTGACGGGACAGGTTATGCTTTCCATGTGCCAGAAAGTTCACTGTGGTGATGCCAATGAAGGATCGAAGTTTGCTCCTCAGAGAAGACAGGATGAATTGTTGGTCTCCAGGTAGTTGGTTGAAACAAGTCCTACTGTTCATTGGACAGGAAAGAGTCTTCATTTAAGCCCAGGGAGAGTCTGTTTTACTGGAGTCATTCGAAATTCATCTTTTGCCAACTTCACAATTCAGTTTTGCCATTAACGAGGCAAGTGTGCCGCAGGTAGAAGGGTCTTCTTACACAGGTCTTCCAACATTCTTCTCAACTCTGTCATAACATTTGCATTGTTCAAAGGTAGTTTTCAATTTGTGATTGCTATTTTTAGTCAATGAGACTAATAATAAGTGGGAGTGAGAACACAGCAGATGCTTTGAGGCAAGAGGGTCTTAATGACCCCCTTTGGAACCACAGCAGTTAGCTAAATATGCAGTCAACTGCAACTCAGTTCCAAAACCTGTACAGTGTTTAACACTGCAGTCATGGCCATTACCATGTATCATGTGAATTCAGATTTGGATCTAAAAAACAAAGAAACAAACAAACAACAACAACAAAAAAAACCAAAAAACCTGGATTTTCTGATTTAATAAAATACTTTTAAAATAATTATGGTATGGCTTAAAAATGTAGACTTAAAATATATATATACTTACATTCAACATAAACATTTTAGTATTTGTGAGTATAGCATATTAGAACTCAGGGAACAGTTGAGGAAAGTAGTGAATTTTTTTTTTTTTTAAGTTTAGCAAAATGTTCTTCTAGGCTCCTAGAATCAGGTTCTTTGTAAACTTCTTGATGAATTTTTTTTGTCTCTGGCAGGCTTTCAAGCACTTTGGCATGTAGTGGCTTCTCATATATACATTAAATTTTGTTGAAAATGCTTTAAACTCAAACTTCAAAAAAATCCTTAGATGATGCTGTGAAAACATTTTAATCTGTGCTTCTTGACAAAACACCAAGATGGAGTTCCCAAGTCTGCGTGTTCATTTAACAAATACGTACTGCCTTTGGAGAGACCATGAAGAAGGAGCTCAGAAGGAAAAAGGAAATCCAAATGAACCTCTACAATTTCAACTCAGTTTCAGTAAAGCTGTGCTGCCTATGAGAACAGTTTACTTTCTGTGAGGACTTAACCTAAAAATGGTTTATTGTCTTATTATCTAACTACAGTTTGACTCTTTACATCATGGTATCAAAGCTGCTTCTTAAGTTCCGGTCCTATCTTCTCTTCTCCTCTCCCCCCTCCTCCCTTCCCCCTCTCTTCCTGCTCCCTCAGTCTGGGGAAAAATTACTGAACTAAGAGCTGAAGTTGAGCTCTCTTGACCCTTCCACCCGTCTCTTCAGGCTCTTTGATCTTGGCCAAATCAGTGAGTCTTTCCCTTCATCTCTCAACTGGGAATAGTAATTCTTGCTCTGGACCAGCCAGATGAGATAAGATACAGTTGATGCTCCTCATTCATGAGAGCCCCACGCTATAAGGTCATAGCTAATACTGAACTGTTGCTCCACTCGATTAGGTTC